CAGGGAAAACAAAAGAGGTTTCCTTCTTTCCGGCCGTACTCGTCGCACGTATTTTCAGCGGAGAATAATAAATCGACGCCGAGTATTCGAGGCACCGATATCGCGGCCGTTCAAAAACTCACGTAGTTATGTAATTTATGACTATTTTTCGACGCCCCCCCCCCTCAGTCCGGTTCCAAATAAAAATCAGGGCAGAAAAATATCTGCGTAAAGCATCGACCGGTCGTATATCGAGACGACACAGAATAGGAATAGATCACAGAGAAAAATTCAAGGAAATCGAAAATTATTGACCAGCAAAAAATTCTTAACTCGAAAAGACGAGGTTTTATCGATCTGCCTCAATTGTTCTTTAAAATTATCTCTACTATTATTATATTAATTTTTATTTTAATGTTAAATTAATTAAAGAATTAAATAAAATATGAATGCGCCCTAATATATAATTAAATATAAATCATATAACTTGGTGGAAGACATTATTTTTATAATTGACATTAATTTGATAAAAATGAGAAATAATTTTTATGTCCCAAAAAATTAATTTTTTATTTTCATTATATCATTATTTAATTCTATTTGTCGGAATATAAGTTAATATTATAATGTAAGTTAATATCATCAATCATTAATTGCGACACAAATGGAGAATAGAGAATGAGATAATACATGTATTAAAAAAAATACGCAGTTAAATATTCTTTTTCGAATATAAAATGTAATTTCATATTTTTATAATTTTATTGTTATTATCGTTACTCATATCCTGAAACTCGTTCTCAATAATTATTATTTATAATAGTAATCTTTTTATTGTATTCATGGATCTATAATACGTTCTTCAAACATGACATTTTTTAAATTTTTTATTATATTTATTATATTTATAGTATAACATGGATACTTCCAAATACATTTTTTATCATAAGAGGTTATTATGTACATAATTTTAATTTCTTAGATTTTTGTGTAAAATTGAATATATGAACAATATTTGTGTAAACGTACTAGAATATGCACAATACGATTCTCTTTATAATTATTAATCATAAAGAGATAAATATATATTAATATTCAATGTTAATAATAGTGTTAATAATTAACATCTTTCTCAATCTATTTTTCTAGCTAAATTTTTACTCTGTTTTTCGGATAACCATATAGATACATAATATATGACAATGTATTTGTATATTTTTCTATATATTATTATCGTACGGTACATACATTGTATATAGAATATCTATATTATTCTCCTTTTAAGTTTCTCGATAAGCAAGTTAAAGTAGATATGGAAAGAATTATTATAGAGCAATTCTTTGTCTATTATTTTAAAACAGTTATCAAATTTATTCTTTGTTTGGAACATTGTCGAAGATGGAACACAATAAACCAGCAATTCAAGGGGAAAGACGGAAGGGGAAAGAGATAGAGAAAAGGGCGACGTCAAAGAAGAAGTGAACGAGATCGGTAACGAGGAGACACGCGAATGGACACGGTAGCTCTGCGTATGGCGCGCGATGGAACAGAGACCGGTTGTTAAAGAGAGGTGGCAAGGTGAGGAAGTGAGAAAGCGACGGCAGCGGCAGATAGAAAAAGAGGTACGCGCGGAACTCTGGAAGGAAAACGAGTCGACGGAGCGAGTGGAGGAGAGAGAAAGAGAGACGGAGAAACAAGAGCGGTAAAAATGAATCGATAGGCGGAGTTTTTCATGACGCGCCGCTAGAGGCGCTCCAGGTGGGGGAGCGCAATAGGCGGAGTCAGGCTGATTTAGGGCCGCCATTTTGTGACAATGGACGAGAGGGGGTATGCCTATCTGATTGGCTGATCTACGGACTTCTCTCGTCCTGGACAAGCTTCTACAGATTGTTCGGTTGTACACACCGCCGGGTACTCCAGCCACCCGGCAACCCGGCAACGCTGCCACCCCACACCGTGGCTTCTCCTACCCCGCTGCCAACGGTGACGTGCTCTCTCTCTCTCCCCTCCTCGCCCCTCTGCTGTATCATCGCGCACATACACGTACGTACATACGTTTACGTGCGTACACACACGAAAAAAACGCCAAGTCCCGCGTAGCAGAGGAATCCTCGCGAAAAATTGCAGGCGTCTCGTATACGGCTCGCTCGCGAGCTGCATGCTTTTATCTGCCATTAGAAAATGTTGATTGCAATATTTCGCTTCCGCTTAATCGAACGCGTTTGTCTCTTTCTCCGTCGTTCTCTAGGACGAACGTCGTCCAGACGGACACTATCGCGTGATCTCCTTTAGAATTTTTAATTTGACAGAAACAGAGTAGGAAACGCTTTCAAGTGTCGATTATGTAACAGTCTTCTGGATAGCAGATTGATTAGATTCACTAGTTAGCAATCGCTAAGATTTACGTGACTCTTGCCTCATGATTGCGAAAAGCATGTTGCCAAGAGTGCTTTGTCGATTAGAACTCATTTCCTGAAATAGGATTCGTCATTGTTCAAGAGATTGAGTCGAACAATTAAGCCTACTTAGGATTAAATTTATCTCATACTAAAACTTCTTTTTATTTTATATAGGTATAAGCTGTATTTTATATTGTATTGCATAATTCAGTTCTAATAATAACAAATGTTCTACAAAGCACATTTGCCATTATCTTATAAAATTTTCACTTTTTCATATAACTTTCCTATTGACTTTTTCCTATAATGTAAAGTTCATTACATTTCTTATAAGATAATCAAGAAAGTAACATTTATTTACAGTACTGAATGCAAACTTGCGCCATTAAAAAAATCAATATCATTCAATTTTGAAAATCATATAAGTTCAAAATTTTATAATAGCAGGAAGAATTTTTGTGTCACGTATTGTGTATCTGTAACGATTATGTATCTGTAACAGATCATCTCAGAAAAGCTCAGGAGTCACACAAAAGTCGCACTTAATGTTGAGCATGCGATGTAAACAAGAAGATTGCCGGTATCCGGCTGCAATTAACGTACAAGTGATACGAGAACAGCGGACAGACCAGAAAGTCTCGCCGCGCTATCGGATCGCACGACCTGGGGCAACCTGTAACACGGTAGATTGTCGTCGTCGTCATCGCATCTCGCTCGGATTTCAGACTTCGGATTTCGGAGGGCGTGTGTATCTTAATCGCGGTATCTCATCTAGATAGGCCGCCGGCATCAAGATCGACGGTCCGCTCGTTCGTTTGCGCGCGCGAGCTACATGTCGTATACGCGATGTATGTACAGGCGAGGCATGTGCATGGATGTGTGTGTGTGTGTGTGTGTTTTGTGCGTACCAAATACGCAAGTGTGTACGTATCTAGCCGGTAATCTCTTCGCGCGTGGGGCACGTGGCTCCCGCGCGTTCGGGCCCTCGTTTTCCTCGATCCGATCTAAATTCGGATCGGCCGATCAGAGTGTGGAGAAGGCGCGCATCTCTCTTTCATCACGGGAACCACACGGGATTCCCAGCCACCTCGCGCCGCGTTGATCCGACGGAATTATTCAGCATCCCGCCGGCTCGTGCTGCGATCTAGATAATCGTGTTTTACGCGATCGGCCCGATTCCCTTTCCGTCGAAAAGCGGGTAAACGAGCCGAGTTTGCGATCGAAATCTCTCTCCGGAATAAATTATATTAAGTATTCGAACAATTAATTATTCCTTAAAGCATTCTTCCTCTCTTTTTTTTATCTATAGATTGATCGATTAATTTATAATTTAATTAATTTTTGCTCGATAAAAAATATTGAAGAGATAGTGGAATTTTGAATAATAAACAAAATTTAAAGATATCTATATCAAGCCATTGATCGAATTTAATCTTTTATCGACTGCTCAGTCAATTTAAAAAAATTTCTATTGCGAGGAAGATTAAAAATTATCTACGATAATTTTATTCGTCATTGCACTATGATGATACGTTAGATTTTCGATTGGCCGGCGCGTTGATAAATTGCCGACGTAAATAGCATCGCTCGCATTGCACTCGATGCAATATATTCAAAGTAGACTATAGAAATGTATCGTCCATGTGCGTCCTGATGGAACGATTTGGCACTGTTGAGCCGCGGTATCTGCCAATCGGTGAGGACTGCATTAAATCCGCCTGGGAACATTGAATTTTCCGCTCGCGCGCGGGCGTCCCGCTGTGGACGTTCCGAATCGCATTCTGAACATTTCGCTTCGAACACTGTTGCTAGGTTGGATCCAGCTATTTCCCGACACGTAAATTATTTCTGTGAAAAACGAGCAAATCGCTCGCGTCTACATATGTACAGTGTGCGTGTGCATTCCTCATTTATAAATTGACTTCAATAGTCAGTGCAAGTGATATGACTCGTTTGTGCATTTTTCCCGAGTGAAACATACTCAAGAAATACTCATGTCGTAGACCCCGACGCTTTACTCTTTCGTAAACCGGTACGAGACAAGATAAATGACCGAAGAGGGCTTGATGCTCGAAAGAAATTACGCCTAAGCTAAACGGGGGTACCGCCTTCCCTCATGAATATTCAGTTGGCCAATAGAAATCCGTCTCACGACGGTACAACAGCCTAAAAAATTTCAATAACATCATCGATCGTCGCCTCGTGTCTCCGTGTGCACTTTGACACCGATTCACCATGTATGGATTTGTATCCATCATTGTCGTTTATACTACGCTACTAATTTTATGAAAGCGTGAGACACTTGTCCTTTCGTCGTTTTCTCGTATTCTCGTCAACGGCGCTGACAACAGCGGCAATAACATCATCGGTGGAGAAACGGTACGGCCGCCGGCATAAATGCATACGGGGTGTGCAGAATGCATTTCTCCGTCGACGTCGGAATGGCGGTGGGGAGAAGAGAGCAGTTACGCCCCTCTGGTAGGTTGGACTCCAGCTCAGGGGCGGTGCCAGAACCGGCCGAACGCCGTCGGACTGGAACGAAAGTTGCCGAACGTGCGGGAACGTGGGGGCTCGTGCAGCGCAGTGTTTTCATGCGCTTAGTTTCGCGCCGGTTGCCACGACAGTCGCATCGGGTCGAGTTCGCGCGCGCGTGCGTGCGTTTTTTGGGGGAAAAAAAAAAACGAAAAAGGAGGAAAAAAATTCCGAAAGACTCTACAGCCGCACCTTATCCGCTCGATAAGACGAACGCGACGGGGAAGACAGGCAGGAGGATGGACTAGAGATGAGTTTTGTGGTGGAAGGCAGAGTACGACTGGTACGAGTTCGCGCGCCAAAGTTCCACTCTGCAAAGTGAGAGGACGTTGTGGATTGTCCTGTTATCGGAATCCTCGTTCTCCAAGGGACAACATCCGCCGGAAGGAGAAACGGAAGAGGGGAAAAGCAGAAAGGAATCAATGAAAGTCGATCGATCCGATTAATCTGCGTTGCGTCTCTCCTCCCCGTCTCCTCCCCTCCCCCGCCCCCTCTCTCCCTTCAACCATCTACTTACTCCGTCCGTCCGTCGAGCAAAACTCCAAGAACGCTACGATGTGCTGTGTGTGTGATGTACGGTGCAGTGTGTTGGTGCTAACTTAGTGATAACGATATCCCCTCCTCCGTCGCGTCTACAACCGCGGAATCGGCAACAAACTAGTCCTGTTATCTCGACCGGGGATTGCCGCCGGGAGATAAGGTAAGGGCAGACAGCGTCGACGATCGTAGTCGTTTGATTATCCGTGTTGATTGTTTCGCGACGGGGGGGGCATCGCACCGTAACGTACCGCAGCGCAACGCAGCGCAAATATCTCGCGATTGTCGCTGGCCTTTATCGAATCCACCCCGCCGAGTCGCTTTTCCAACTTTTCTCCGACGTAAAACGTTACCACCGATCACAATCGTCGTACGTAAGTTTGACTTATCGCAGCGCGTGAATAGCAATTGACTTGTCTTTGAAATCTGTAAGGTTAAATTGTCGTCGAGAGTAACATGTTTCGTTTCAATCGGATGATGTGCCAGAGGAGGGAAATCAGTTCATATTATACAGCTAAATATTGTATCTTCGCTCTTTTACACTTTGATGTCAAATTTCCATCAATGTAGATTAACTTTAATCTCGGTTTGACTTACCCTTTTATCTTTCTTCCCAGTTTCATAACTCACGGTTAACTCTTAGCTGAAATTCAACTTGTTTCTCATTTCCTTCTTATTCTAGAATTGGAAAGAGATGAGTAAGCTGAACCTTGGTGAAGAGGTTAATCGTGAGTTGTGAAACTGAGTCTTAAAATTAGTAAATTAAGTCGAGATTAAAGTTAATCTAAATTGGTGGAAACGGGCATAAATGTGATTCATAATTACGTTAGCCAGGTGAAATCAATCTGGCATTGTTTATAAGTGTCGCGAATAAAGTGTCGCGGTTTTCTTAATACTTATATCATCCTAAAAACTATAATTTATTGTGTTTTCTCTATTCATCATCGAGTTTATTTGCTCTATGATCGGTGACTGTCACGTCATGTGTTACTCATTTCGCGACAGATTTTTTAGGCAGGCATAAACAATACGAGTAATGTTCATTTCCATCAATATAGATTAACTTTAATCTTGGTACAACTTTTTATTCATCTCTTTTAATTCTTAAAACTACGCTAGTAAATCTATAATGTCAAATTTATTCGTCGTTTTAGTATAAAATAACGATATAAATTAAGGATTAGTGACGACTTAAATTAGGTTAACTTTGACGATATAGATTTAACAATGTAAAAAAAGACAGTTAGTTGAACTGAGATTAAAATTAATTTGCGGTTGGTGAAAATGGAATAAAATTTCGATATTACAAGAATATTCAAATAAAGATTACGCTTAGAGAGAGAGAGAGAGAGATGCTTCAAAATACATTTTAAAATCCATGACTATAATAAAAATAAATGAAGGGATACCGGTAGTAAAAAATAAATAGTGTTGCCTATAAATAGAGAGACCTAAATGATTCAGCAAATGTCGAAAATTTTCCTGACCCATCTATAACTGGAGAGATATTAGAAAATATTTAAGTAGTGAATACTTCAGCGACGGATACATTTTTCACGATAGTCAAACTTCTCAGGAGTACTCGATTGAGTTGATGTACTTATTATCTATTATTGCTCGAGTTTTTCCATGTCTTCATATGTCATATATATGTCCACAATTTGCAGTTCTTTTTTTACGAATGATTATACAATTCTTGGTCCACGAAAACGAGCAAAAGAGCTAGAACGATCAATCGAGAGCGAAAGTCAGACGAATTCCGAGAACGCAGGTAAACGGTCGGTCAGAAGAGTAGAATAATACGGACCCTTTTTCGACACCCGTCGCAACACAACGGTTTAAACTCGGCAAATGTCAAATTAATATCTTCTAGTGATTTTCTGCTCAGCTTTGACAATGTGAGCGTCATTTATAGGTTCTTGTTGAAATGACCAATGCATCTACGTATAACAAGTTATGGTTAAACCTAAACTAGCAGGGTTTCATTTATGTCTGCCGCTATTTTCTAACGCGCTAAACGACAATGGGAATGTTATTTCAATACTTTTACTTGTAGTGATCAGCATCATTTGTATAATGAACTTAAAACAAATAATTTTTTGGGAGAAAAACATCTTCATCTTTGGGGATCTTTAATGACTTTAAGACTATTGAAAACGTATAAAATCCTAGTGTACCTACAGTTTGTATTGTGACTGAAGGAATAAGTAAATCATTACGCAGTTACAGGGTTTGAAATTACACAGATAAAATCGAAGATTGCCTGTGGATAATCTTTTCCTTTAAAAATACTTGTTGCTTGAGTTAGAGCACAAATATTTTACGCACCTTGGATATGTAAAATATGTTTTATTTGCAATAGTTACTGAATTATTGCAAATATGTGTTTACAATTTAAACAATTGGACGAATGGGCGAATAGTAACAGCAAAGCATTTAAGAATATAAACGTTATATTCGAAATAAACAATTTTTATCTTTCTCTTTTTTTTTCGATTTGACTCAAAATGACGTATTTTTAACATGTGAATAGAAAAATGTAGTTTTCTTCCAATAAACGATACCTCACTACTTTGCTGGTATTAATGTAAAACTTTATTAGATATACGTATAATCCGAAGAAACTCGCTGCTCCTATTTCTATACAATTTCATTATAGGATTCTTTATAGAAATTCTTTCATAAAAAGAACCCCGATTCATCCGATTGTAACTAACATTATAACTGGTGCTAAAATTTATAGCATGACGAGAGAATGTATTACGATTAATTTATTCATCATAAAAACTTACTTAATTTTCATATTTCCTTGTCAACGAGGTTTTCTTTTTCTTAAATTTTTAATATCTAGTTAATTTAATTATTGCTGATAACTTTTCAAAATTAAACATTATTGAATTAAATTGTTTTTTTACTCGTTAAAAGAGTCGATATATTTAAATTGTACAATTTTTTAATTATATATCTTTAGATTTCGTTATACATATAAAATAATTTCTGGAAACGTAATGGAACCGTTTTCGACGTTGCAGCAAAACGCACAGAGTATATATTATACTTTTGTTGAAATCATATTAAATTTCTAGCTAAAAATAATTTGTACTTTGTATTTGAACTCACTTATATTTTTCTCCCAGAAATATATCTTTCTTTACTACGGAAAAGGCGTATGCCTTTTGAAGGACATTGAAAAAGAAGGAAAACAGATGTTTGCCGTAAAGTATAAGTGGCTATTTGCAGGTGTAACGGACATGCCGGCGGTATAAGAGAAGTAGAGAAACATAGTACAACTTGACGCTAGTATAACTCGACTACTGTTTTTATACTCGGGAGGATAGAAAAAAATTGCGGGAATGGTAATATTAATCCTTTGGTAGAGCGGCAGCCACGGTAACGTTAATCCTTTGCGTTCTGTCTTGGGTGTATTCGTCTACTAAACATGTGACATAAGAGAAATTGCAATGCATTAACATACTTCCAACTTATTTGTTTGTGAATCCCACCTGTCTCAAAACTTGATAGATCTTTCCTACTTTGGCTTTCCTCTTATTTTGTTGTGAAGGGATCCTTTCATAACAAGACTTCCTTATACACACTGAGAATCCTAATTGGTTGACCACTAATCTCTTGTTTTATCATAGGCAAACAAATCCCTGGTTGATGCAATAAAATAATTTTGTTTAAGTAAAAAATTTGATTATTGTAACGTTTTACTTGTGTTTATCAAAAACATAGGATTTATGGAATTAGTGGGATTCTCAGTGCGTACATCTACACACTCGTTCGTCATTGCTCGCTCATCTACCGCCTATCCTATTGAAAATATTTGTAATCGCATTATTTAAGGACCTACTCTGAAATTCGATCTTGACTAGTAACTGCAACGTTACCAGTGTCGTTGCACAGATTTTGTATATAGTAAAACAGCTGCGCAACGACACTACATAACGTTACAGTTACAGTTAAGAGTTACAGAATATTCCCCTTTTTCCGCGTTTTAAGGGGCGAAGAAGTATACATAAAAATTGACACAAAATGTATCCGAAACGATTCTCACTTTTCTCTTCATATGCGCGAGTCCTTCCGCTTGAGAAAAACATCCTCCAAAATCCAACTTCGGCCTTGAGTATCGTTCGGTAAACGAAATGCCACCATTCGGCCAATGTCCCTTCGAGTCCTTTCCGAAGCTGAAATTTGTTTCCCTTTTTCTCTGGACGAAGAGGCGAAGTATCGCGTTACTATCTTCTTGGTCCGAGTCTCTCGCGTTCTCGATTGTTTCGTTCTCTCGATCCGTCGGCCGCGAGCCGATTCGAGCGATCCGCTTTTTCGAGCTTGCCGAAAGTTCGCCGAAGCGACTTGTCGATGACGTTTCTTCTCTTATTTTCGTGGCCGTGACAGTGCGTGTCACGGGCCGGTGGTTCCGTTCTTCATCCTCCGACGCGTTTCGACGGCGTGCGAGAGAAAAGGTATCCGTTTTGGTTATTCCTATCAGATTATCACAAACGAGAGACGCGCCTTGCAGTGAATCGCGATCGTGTCCCAAACACGTCACTGAAACGCTGAAACGTTTCAGACAATTGTGCCTTCTCCGTTTTTGACGTAGCAGAATTGAATATGTTTAAGTGTAGCGTAGATTTTCTCGAATTTTCGACGGTTGCGAACCATCATATTTTCTTACACTAAAATAGTTCGACACGTCTTGAAAAGTTGGAACGATTAGTTCCAATATTATATTCCTATTCTCCATCTTGGAAGTAAACTTGGAATAAGAGGCGACATATATTCAAACATAAGATACATTTGCTTCTTGATCCTGAAGCCGCGAAACTGGATTATTTCTAATGTATGTAGATTAACTTCAATCTTAATTCAACTTACTTTTCATCTTTTTCTAGTTTTAAGTATTAGAAAAAGAAAAAGAATAAATCGAGATTAAAATCTGTAGAAACAGAAATTAATCGAAATGGACATCGCTCCATTCCGCAGAAGGCGCAGAAATGCGCTAACAAAATTAATGTTCCGTTGCTATTCTATATTATTTACATTGTGATGCGGATGAAGTAGATGTTGACTACGTTTACGCGGCTCGATTTAACGCCAAAGTTAGTAACATCGACGATTATGAGAAACTAGCCAATCACAGTCATTCCATTCTTAGAGAGGATTAATTATGATTGGCCAGTTTCATAACAGCGACGTTATTATCCTCGGATCCGATTCTTCGAAACCTCCGTTAATTTCGAGACGTTGCGTACGTTTCCGTATATTTCAGAGTACCCGACGCTGTTACAACATTGACGCTTTTGAAGAGATTAACGAATTTCGATAAGATTATAGCGATGTGATACGTGATCGAGGAGTTGACGCCGATGGAGTTTCGTCGAGAGTGGACACAGTGATATAATCCGGAGTAGATAAGATCCACTAGATCGCAGCGGACTTAATGAAAGTACAATTAATTTAAGCCAGAAGCGAAATCAGAGAATCGCAGGTGAAATTTCTAAAACGCTCATTCCTCGTTCCCGTTAGTTACTCGCAAAATATCGAATGTAATTTACGGCATGTATCTGATAGCGGAGCAGAAAAATGCACGATTTTTTATTAATACATTGGCAGGAAGATTAATTTTTCACGCGTTCAATTATTGCCGTTACAATCGAGGCACGTAAAATAAGCCGCGGTATTGCGAGGAAGGAATTTATTCGCAGTGAAAACTCCTTACGTTGATGTACTATTACGATCGATGAGATCATCTTTATCGAAATGAGCAAACGTGTATGAATAGTATACGCTTATCAGCTGTAATTATTTCGTCGGCGGTTCAACGGACGTGCTCCAATTTGCTCGAACCTGTTCTCGTCACGGTCGTGTGTAATATCTACGATATATATATATATAAATAAGAATATATATATAAAAGAACGTCGATCTAGGAAGTAACCGCTTATCGTCTCGTCGTCTTATATGGTTGGTGCGAAGAATTCGGGTATTTTTGTCACCTTCGTTTTTTTTTCACGAGTATCATAATCTCTCGCGCGCGGTTAAAGTCCACAATGTTTTCGTGTTAGTTATCTAGCCCGGGGTTTTCATTCGTTATCGCGATTGTCAAATCGATGAAAAACTCGACTCACGATATGTGCGAGTGATTGAAAGTGCATATCGGTCAAGAGTCTGATTTCGATTGATTATCTCAAGTCGAGTGGCTCTTACTAGATTAGACGATTTCCTTCTCGCTCTTTTTTTTTTTTTTTCGGCAATCATAACGCTTCGGGAACTGTTAAGTTTTTTACCTGAAAAGCAGAGAGGAAGAGAGGGAATAGAGAAACCAAAAAATCAACAAGACGAAATAAGTCTCTCTATTATCAGCAAGTTTTTTTTTTTTTTAGAACGAGTTTCGCGTGTTAGTAATTATTTATAGCGAGAATATCCATAGATTCCCAATTGTTAAATATTCGAGCGAGCTAATGATTTAAACAACCGCTGGATATGGATGCGTTAAAAATAAAGCGGCTCTCGCGTGATTTATATTGCCAAAAAAATATTATTCCGATCGTGAGATATCTCTGAAAAGTAATCGCTCGTTCGTCTTGCGATCGTGTCGAGTGATACGATTTGATTGATCTGTTCAAATTTAGTTATATCTATGATCGATCGAGTTCGCGATTATCTTCCCGACATTTTTCGTGATAACCGCTTAAATTGGACGACAATTTGGAACGTCAATACTTTTCGGCGCATTTAATTAATGAACTGCGCGGTTACTCGTGACTGATGTTAATTATTCAATATATTGTATTTATAACACAAGTATTTAAATTAATTATAGGGATTAGGGTCACGTTCGCGTATTATGGATATAATCGTTGTTGGCATAGTTGATAATATTGTCTAACTCGTGAAATGTATTTGCAGAATATATACATATATATATATATATCG